TTCTCTCCCTACTCCTTCTGGGATCCCTGTGGTGTTAGTGAAGCAGCTTGCGACTGCATCGAGCACGAATGGAGTCAGACCAGGTGTTTGCCAGAGATGCAGTAGCAGGAAACTGTTGGGCACTTTCCCTGTGTTGTCACCTGAGAAACTTTTCGTTGGTGGTGGGACCTGCAACCAGACCAGACCAGCTCTCTGCCCCCGGCCCACTGCTGGGGCTATACCTGGAGTGGTACGTAGGACTCTCTTCTCCTCTCCCTGGAGCAGGAGTCACGCTGGAGTGGCGGTGGCTCATTTGGGCTGCTTGCATGCTGCCATGCCTGTGGCCCCGGTTTGGATGGGCTCTGGCCACAAGTGTAGTGGAGGGGTGGATCCCCAAGGTGCAGCTTTACTAAGGTTTTGTGCACAGCCCTCTGTGAATGGAGACTGAGGCCAGCTGGGTTGGAAGAGGCGGATCCATCACATTTGCGAGTTGGGGAGAGGTGGTGTTAGCAAGGTTTTCGACGGTCCTCTGGGGAGGGTACCCACAGTGCTGGGGCAGGCCTGGTTGGAGGGTTCAGATCCCCCAAAGTGCAGGGTGAGGTGTAAGGAAGTTAGGTAGTGACTGTTACTGCTGCACTAGCTGCCGCAGGTCTCCCTGTGTCTATCCTGGGGGCTGGGGGAGAGAGATGGCACCTGCTGGCTCCTTTGTCCCTGGGGGGTGGTCTTCCAGGGTTCTGTCCCTGCAGACATGCTCTGAGCTTAGCAAAGAACTCTGCCTCCCATAGGCCCCAGGTGTTTTTCCAACTGCTGCTTCTATGCTGAATCTCCATGGGCTGTTGTGTCGTCTCTTTAAGGGCAGGGACTTAGTTTTCTCTTGGCCTCCATTCTTTCCCAGAGCGGAGTCCGGTGAGTTTTTTTCTTAAATGTTTATTTCTGAAAGAGAGAAGGCAGGGATACAAGTGGGGCAGGGGCAGAGAGAGAGATGGAGACAGAGGATCAGAAACCGGCTCAGCACTGACAGCAGAGAGCTTGACGCAGGACTTGAACCCACAAACCATGAGATCATGACCCAAGCTGAAGTTGGATGATGAACCAACCGATTGAGCCACTTAAGTGCCCCAAGCCCGGTGATTTTTAAAATTCCAGATTTTAAGTTCTGCTGGTTGTAAGAATCTTGAAATTCGGCCCCTCTGGTTTTCAAAGCCAAATGTTATGAGGCTTCATCTTCCCACATGGGCAACCCTGTGATTGTCTGTCTACCCTCCCTGTGCCTGCAGGTGCCCCCACCCCGGGGAGAGTCCTGTGGGTATTAGCTCCTCACTGTATCTTCACCCTTTCTACCTTCTTCGATGTGTCCTCTTCTTTACATTGAGTTGTGGCTCTGTTCTGCCAGCCTTCGGGTTGCTTTCTGGGGCATTTACACTATGATGAGTGTTAGGTAGTTGTGTCCAAGAAACGAGGTGAGTGCCATCTTCCCAGCAGTCTAACTCCGTTCTTTTGCCAGCAAACCCAGTTTGTCTACATTCTCTTTCTCTGGTCAGTCTGTAAACCCAACCCACTGAGAGCAAACTCCTTCGCTTGTACCTCCTTTGCTCCAGGCCCACTGCTGTGCATATAGTCGAAGCTCAGTTACTAGCTGATGCTGATGAGTGTTCTGGCTTCTGCTGAGTTTGTCTCTTCATTCCTTTGGGGGCCACATAGGACTGGTTCGTGGCCTTCAGTTCTTTCTTGCCTGTGTCCTGTTCTCTGCCTGCCAATTCTATGGCCTCATTGTCAGATGACATAGCCCCCATACTCGCATAGTTCTTAGCTGTCTTTACCAGAAAATTCTACCCTTCCTTCCCTCCCTCCCGTGTACCCAAACGATGGTCAGATGGTTGAAAGAGGGAACTGTGCCTCCTCTGAGAATTTTTAGACACCCCTCTTCTTACTGTCAGTATTCAGGTGTGAGCCTTAAAAACAGAACTTGACCACAGAATCTCATTAGGCAGTAACTGATTTTGTAGTATTCTGGTGCCTCTTCTTAGCTCAGGGTGATTTGCAAAATTGCCTCTTGCATTATCCAAGGAATCCAATTTTCTGTTATCTTGAACTTAGATGCGGAGGCAGCAGAGCAGTTAGGAGGAGATAGTGGTCAAGGGTTTCACATTGTGGTACAATATATCGGCATTTGAATGGTGTGATCCCTGCCTCCATTAAAGGGCAGTGGTTTAGGCCTTAGCCTCCAAACTGGAATCCTTCACTCTCTCAACTGAGCAGGCTAGAGTTGTGCCTGCCTCAGTGGTGTGGTTGCCCCAGCAGCCAAGGCCTTAGGATTGTCCATCAGGGTCAAGACCAGACAGCACGATGGCCTAAAGGTGATGTGAACGGAGGGTCTGGGAGAGCCACGTGCAGCCCCCAACCTACTTTCATTCCTGGCATCCTTCAGATGAGAGAAGCATTCTGGCGCCAGGCTCCAGGACAGGAGGAAAACATTCCAGAAAGACAAGAAGAAAGATAGGTGGAGGTCTGAATTGCAGCTCTGCCATCTGCCAACGGTGGGACCTGGGCAAGTTAATTAATGGGTCATTGATTAAGCAGTCAATCAACAAAGGTCTGTTTGGCTTTATGTGCCTTTATTTTAGAATTTTTATTTTAAGTAGGCTCTGAACTCATGACCTTGAGATTAAGAGTCACATACTCTATCAACTGAGCCAGCCAGGTGCCCCTGACTTTACATGCCTTTGAAATTTTTTATTTATTTTAATTTTACCTCCAGCGTAGTTAACATGTGATGTTACATTAGTTTCGTGGGTAGTGTAGCTTACTTTTTTGTGAGAGCGCGTGTGAGTGTCGGGGAGAGGGACGATTTCAAGCAGGCTCCAGGCCCAGCACAGAGCCCGACCCGGGGCTGGATCCTATGACCCACACCAAGATCAAGAGTCGGACGCTTAACTGGCTGAGCCCCCCCCCCCAAGGTGCCCCACTTATTGTCGGTCGTTCTGGAATCCGCTCCTATGTGGCACATTCCTAACATTTTTACCTCACGCTAATGTCACTTGTATTTGTGTCTGGCGGGGGGGGGGGGGGGTCTTTATTTCCCTGTCACCACAATTCTTCCTCTTTTCTACTTTCCCGTTTCCCCCGGCCTTGTATCTGTTCTCAGCTTAATTTCTCCTTTAGCACTAGCTTCTCCCTTCTCTGATATGTACCGGTGCATCACCGTAAAGCACTTGACCAGTTCATAAGCACTCAGTTGTGTGGATGGCAGGCCCTGAAGTTTCAGAATGGTAGGCTCCCTGGCAAAGCGGACACGGCGATGGGGGATGTTCACCACACAGAAGGTGTGCAGGCCGGGCCCCCACAAGAGGCGCTCGTCAAGGCTGTCAGGTCTCACGCGGGACTCCTGTCTCCTCCCAGCTCACGGGCATGTGGGTAGCAGTCCTCACCTGTGGGAGCTTCTGGGTGGCACCAGCCCCCCACGTTCCCCTTGTGACGAGAGCAGACCACGCATGCCTCGTGCAGGGGCTCGTTCCAGTGACCGGCTGCTGCCTCATTCTGTACCGTGTGGGGGAGGCACGTCCACGTCTGGAGGGAGGGAGGGCCGGCAGGGAGATGCCTGGTCGCAGATTGTGCCTCCGCTCCTTTGAGGCTCAGGGCCGGATGCTTTATTTTGGGAGCTCCTCCTCACGCTCCTTTAGGTTCTTGGTGTTCCTGCACAGACCTCACCGTCACGATGGTAATGGGAGTTCTGTCATCAGAACTTCACATGCCACAGAGGACCCTTTTTTTCCCTGATCTCACGGTGGTTCAATCATTTTCCTAGTCATTTACTTAAAATTTAAGTCCTGTGTCGCTACCTCAGTTTTCTCAAAACATGTGCCTGTGGGGTCCTCTCCTCACTTGGTCCCTGATCCTGTTGAGCCCAGAGTCTTCTGTTCTTAATTTACTCTTATGAAAAGAATTGTATAGGAAGTAAAACTTACAGGATTTTCAATCAATGTAACTGACGGTGTGGGTTGAACCGTGTCCCCCTGAAAGATCTGCGTCCCTAACTGTAGGTACCTATGAGTGTGGTCTGATCTTGAAAGACACGCTGTGGGTATAAGCAAGTGAAGATGAGGTTGTACAGGATCTGGGAGGGCCCCAGGGCTGGTCACTGGTGTCCTTATAATGTGAAGGCAGAGATCAGAACAAGGGACCTCCCAGCCAGAGAACCCTCTGGACTGCTGCCGACCCCCACAGCCCAGGAGAGAGGCAAGGATGGTCCCGGTCTTGGCACCACCGGTCTACGGTGTGGAAGCCACCACCCTTCACAGCTGGACCCCTGTCCTCACCACAGCGAGGACCCCAAGAGGCTGTCCTTTGCCGATTTCCCAGAATGGCCCCTTCTGAGTCCGGCTCAGAGGAGAGAGCGCTCCTCTATGGGAGCTCAGCTCAGAAGGTTACAGACTTCCATCTGCTAAGTAGTGACAGCCTTGGGCTGCTCCCCTGTCCCATCATTAACTCTGACCTGGCCCCGGGGAGCCCACATGCCCTCCAGACCCTTGCTTTTCCTTCCGCTTCTGCCCTCTGCCTGCACACTTCTCCGTCTTGACCATTTTGCATCCCTCCCCCTCAGGCAGCTTAATGACTCTTGTTGTCTTCCCTGATCATTTCTCACGAGTCCTGCCTTGCTTCCCATTTTCTTCCCTGTAAAGGGTTCCCTGTCATTGTCGTCTTCAGACAGCTCTTCGTGTCTGGAAGTCTCACAAACTCCTCTGCCTGATCCCTTCTTCATATCGGAGGAAGTTCTCCTCACTCTCTGCGAATACTATTGTCCAAGTAGAGTTTTCTCTAAATTTGCTTTGCCTTGTCAGACATCCTCTCCAGCTAACTGACGTTTCTTATTATCTTCCCATGCTGTGCCACACTTTGTAGGACTGGCTGTGACGGCACTTCTGGGGCACCTGATGATTATTTTAATTTGAAAATCCTATTCCCTCTGGATATTGAATTGGGGGGGGAAAATGCAGATGATGACATTTATATTCTTATTTTAGCGGAAGAAGCTGTAAGTAAAGATGGATTGTTTAATGCAAAGCAAGAAACTTTTGAAGAGATACAGCAAGGTGCTGAGGCCTCAGGAGCACCCAACAGGTGAGTGTCCATGTTAAGTGGAACTGATCCTGCAGCTGTAAGAACAAATTGGAGTGACCAGAGAACCTAGTTGGTCAAAGCTGCTTCCCTGGAAGAATACAGGAAGAGAACTACTCTCCCTTCAGGAATGGTAGGAGGCCCCGGGCCAGGAACGGGACCGGTCCGTATCCTCATTATACAAAACCTTCGGTTGGTACACAGTTGCCCCCAGGAATCCTATCCTGACTGTTCACCCTGCCTGGCCACCGTTCCCTGGGTTCCCTTCTGTCTTGGTGGAGCTACAGAGAAGAAAAGCCAGAAAAGGAAGAGAATTCAGACAAGAGTGAGGGCTATCATGGCAGTGGAGAAACGAAGAACACTGGGAGAGTCCTGAACAAGAACTACCAGGAAAGTGGCTGATGAAGCGGAAATTAAAGATAGTAGTAGGTACTTACTAAGCCTCGGATGTGGAGGAAAAAGGGGAAAGGGAAGGGAGGGAGATGTAGCGCAGATGCTCCTAAAGCAGAGAGGGAAGGACCTGATCAAAGGCGGGGTTGGATTGGGTGAGGCCATTGGCTCCTCCGAGATGAGCACAGAGGAGGAAGAAAACATCATGGGACAATTAGCTTGAAGCCTGGGGTGGGGGGACACTTGCTCATCTCAGGGAAATGGGGCTAAATCTTAGTGAAAATGGAAAGGTCTTAAAGGTTAAGAGAAGTGAAATTTTTCATAAAGCTTTTGAGGTCCGAACCAAGCTCTACCAGACACGTTTTGTGACCATTCTAACTGCAAAACAGGAATATATTGTGCCTGTCAGACGTTTAACTTCAGTGAACAGAAACTGACTCAGCATCTCCCCACCACTACCCCTGCCCAGCCACACACACACACACTTACACACTTTCTTTCCCACTTTTCCCCCCACTACTACCTCTCCTTTCCTTCTACCATTTAGGGCCATAATGTGTACCCATTGTCAATATTTGTCAAAAATAGGCACTTTGATGTGAATGTTTTAAACTACTTAAATGGTATTGTGAATATTCTCTCACTCAGCATAACGTTTTAGGAGCTATCTGCACACATCTACTCCTTTACCTACAGCTGCCACATACTATCTGTAACGTACATCTATGGCCTGTCAGCTTCCCCAGAGATGGTCACCCAGCTGCTTCCAGGTCCCCGTCAGCAGGGACACTGCTGCACGGAACAGCCTCTACGTGCCCCCTGTGCGAGCACTTCTTTGGGACAAACACCTAGGAACAGAACTCCGAGTCGTAGCGTGTGTTTTACTAAAGTTAGCTCAGTATTGCCGACTTGACTTCTGAGAAGAACACCCCACCTGTACTCGGCTCAGTAGAGGGTTCACACCCTTCCAGCATTTGTCATTACTCAGTTCTCAAACCGAAGGATCCAGGCTCTTGGTCTCTTGTTCTACCATCCTTAGTGTGCTGGTTTCTGACCGAGGACCATGACGGTCCCTGCAGCTCGAGTACAGAAAGGAGGTAGGAGGGCATCTTTCCCCTTGTTTGTTCCTGGCACCACGAAAGGAGAGGTCTCCCCCCGCCCTCCCCCGTTCCTCACGGGCAGAAATGGACTTCTGTGACCACCTCTGGCTATAAGAGAAGCTGGGGACGGGGGGTACCAAGGAAAGGGGAATGCATTACTTACTATGCCTGGCTTAGACCAATTCATGCCTTTACCTGGACGCACTGCTGCCCCCAGAACGGGGTCTCTGACTGGCTAAAGGGAAGAGGGCAAGGGGCATTGGCAGGAAAGTCCCCGACTCTGCCACTGTCATGAAGCAGGTAATTAGGGAAGCTTTCTCTGGGTGTCACAGGTCAAGGTGAACTAGACAGAGGTATGCATCAAGAACTTGGTTTGGAGAATCCAGGATGAACTGATAGGAGAGGTCAAGAGAGTTTGGTTGACAAGACCGTTTTCCAGGCACATCTTTAGAAGTTTCCAACTTAGATATTTTTTTCTTCTACTCATTCAGGAAGCATTTTATCACTTGTATTCAGAGGCCTGTGTCACAGAGACCCCCACCTGCAGTGGGTCATGTGAGGGCACAGCGGAGCAGACAGAACCACAGTGCAGCGGGACATGTGCCTGTGCTGTGGGTATGGAGAGGCACCCGGCCGAGACCTGGGATGCTGGAGGAGGCGTCCCAGAGCACTGACCTCTGAAACAAGACTCGGGCACCAGGCAGGAATTTGCTAGATGCAGAGGAGATGGAGAGAAAGCAGACAGAGAAGTGAATGTGCCTGTGCCCAGACAGGGTTGGAGAAGACTGGGAGGAGTTACAGGATCCATGGAAGGCAGACCGTCTCAATGAGCAGGTTTCTACCTGAGAAATGGTCCTCTTTGGAGTAGGAAATAAGGCTCTGTTTGCGGATACCTAGATGTGGAGTGTGGGGAAAGGGGATAAAGGGGCAAGAGGGAAGGAGCGGCAGTGTCCCTCGTGGGATATCTGCGGCCCTGCTCGCTCTGGGGTGTGGATGGAGAAGAACCAGCCAGGGTCTCCACTGGGTGAAGTTTTGCTGGTCTGGGGCTAGAGGAGGGACACCGCAGCAGGGGGTTGATGAGCCTGGCCTGAGAGGGGCTGCTGTGATGGATCATGAGGTCCACAAGTAGGGAGGTGAGGTCCACAAGTAGGGAGGGAAGGGAGGAGTTGGTGAGATGCGAGGGTAGCGATTGAGCATGACAACAGGGCCGAGGAGGGTCCCTGCAGTTGAGAGTATTTGGGAACCCTAGGATGGGTGGTGTGTTGAATGGGCCAGACAAGCACACTGGAGACACCTCAGATGATAAAGGCTTTAAGGAAATGAGTCAATACATGTAGTGTGAATTCTATTCCCTTCACTGCTTTTTGCCCTTCAGTCTTTTAGAACTAGACTGTTTAATGTCCTGTTGGTTTCATCTTGGTAACTTTAGCTTGCTTCCTTGTAACCCCATAAAAATCAGTTCAAAGGCAGGAAGTTTGAGTTTCTCCCCAGAGCAGAGTGTCCACCAGATGAATGTAGATCCTTCCGTGTTCAGAAATCCTGTGAGAGGTGTGAAGAAGCCCAGTAAATAACCTCCTTCTTGGTCCAGGTTTAGAGTCAATTGATAGAGCTACAGGAGTAAAAGGATTCTGGAAACCCTCAGCTTCGTTACTGACGGAAGCTCAACTGGACAGGGAAGCCCTGAAGCAGAGGACTCGGCCCATCTCCCACTGTAGAGGCTGGGGTGATTCAACTTGGGCCCAAAGGAACATGGGATGTTTGCCACTCGCTCCTGAAGATGGGGGAGGCACTGCCCTCAGCTGCCCAGTTCCTTGTTTCAGACTCAACAGCTACTGGGAGGGAGGCCCCCAGTGTTAGGTCTGGCCAAAGTCCTAGGAGTGAGAAGGGGGTAGTCTTTGCAGAAGAATACTTAGGTGTCACCAGATTCATGATGTCATGGTGAGGAAGACTAAGGATTTTTATAATATGGTAATTTTTTCATTTCCAGAGATTGTATGCTCCAGCCACCTGGTACCTCAATCTGTACTGACAGGACAGTTGTACATATGAACACCCTGAAGGACCGTCACCCAGGTGACTTGTGGGCCCGAATGCACATCTCCTCCTTGGAATATGCTGCAGGAGACATTACCCGAAAAGGGAGAAAAAAGGACAAAGCTCGAGTGAGTGAACTGCTCCAAGGCCTTGCATTTTCTGGTGACTCAGATGTAGAAGAAGAGAACAAGCCTGAGGCCCACCCTGCTCCAAAAAGGCTAAAGATATCAAACGTCCCAGAGAAGAATTGGACCAAAAGAGATCTTAAACCCAACTTTCCAAGCTGGTCAGCACTGGATTCTGGACTTTTGAATCTCAAAAGTGAAAAGTTGAACCCAGTAGAACTCTTTGAATTATTTTTTGATGACGAAACATTCAGCTTGATTGTCAATGAAACCAATAATTATGCATCTCAGAAAAATGTCAACTTGGAAGTCACAGTTCAGGAAATAAGGTGTCTGTTTGGGATCTTGCTTTTGAGTGGATTTGTGAGGCGTCCCAGAAGGGGAATGTATTGGGAAATCTCGGATACCGATCAGAACCTAGTCAAGGATGCAATTAGAAGGGACAGATTTGAATTGATTTTCTCATACCTACATTTTGCAGATAACAACCACCTAGATCAAAAAGATAAGTTTACAAAGTTGAGGCCTCTCATAAAGCAAATGAATAGAAATTTCCTCCTCTATGCTCCCCTTGAAGAACACTATTATTTTGATAAGACAATGTGTGAATGCTTTGATAGTGACCAATTCCTGAATGGGAAACCTATTAGAATTGGCTATAAAATTTGGTGTGGCACAACCACACAGGGTTATCTGGTTTGGTTTGAGCCCCATCAAGAAGAATCATCTGTGATGGTGGATAAGGATCTTAACCTTGGTTTAGGTGGAAATCTAGTGATGCATTTTGCTGATGTCCTTTTAGAGAGAGGCCAATATCCCTATCACCTGTGTTTTGATAGCTTCTTTACAAGTGTCAAATTGGTTTCAGCCTTGAAGAAGAAAGGCGTGAGGGCAACAGGAACAATTCGTGAGAACAGGACTGAAAAATGTCCCCTTATGAATGTAGAACATATGAAAAAAATGAAGAAGGGGTATTTCGATTTCCAAGTCGAAGAAAAGGAGGAGATAATTTTGTGTCGTTGGCATGGAGATGGCATCATCAGTCTGTGCTCCAATGCCGTAGGCATAGAACCGGCCAGTGAGCTAAGTTGTTGTGCCGATGATGAGGAGATCCATCAGATAGCTCAACCGTCTATAGTGAAATTGTATGATGAATGCAAGGAAGGTGTAGCTAAAATGGATGAAATCATTTCCAAATACAGGGTGAGAATAAGAAGCAAAAAATGGTACTCAATTTTAGTGAGCTACATAATTGATGTAGCCATGAACAATGCATGGCAGCTACACAGAGCCTGTAACCCAGATACCTCTCTAGACCTCTTGGATTTTCGGAGATATGTTGCACATTTCTACTTGGAGAACAATGCTAATCTATCAGATTAAGGCAGATAAAATGCGCATAATGCTAGTATTAACAAGATAAAATCACAGGTATATATCAGATTGTACCCTTCCAAAGCAAACCTGATGTAATGAAATTAACATTTTAAAAAGTCGTATCTATGACCTATGTAAAGTTTCAAAGAAGTAATTTAAAAAATTGTATTGACTGAGTGCTACACCTTTTTCTATGACTAATTTTGGTGTGAAACATGTGGGAAATAACTTGGATTAATTTGTGCATTGAAAGAAGGAAATTGTGTCTCTTTAATTCTTTGTGGAGGTTTTATTTTTGTTGTTTTTTTTTTTTAATTCAGGCAATGCCATAATATCCAAAGACTGATGCTGAATCTACAATTGAAAAATTAAGGCGGGACTCATGATGTACAGATGATCTTAAAACCTTAGGTGATAAGAGGCTGAAGACCTCAGCTTTAGTATAAAACTGGATCAGATGGTGCATAGGAGAGAAGGGCCAGGCAAGCATGCTGAAGAAGAGTGCTACAGAGGAAAAACTGGAAGTGAAGCAGTGCCTTTGAAAACTGAGAAAAATGATGAAATATGAAGCAAATCAGGTAACAACAGCACCATCAGGAAAAGAAGTTAGGAGTAAAGCTGACATAAAGCCCCTGTGAAATCAGTTGGGGAAAACATATGTGCCAATAAACTGGACAACTTAGAAGAGATGGACAAATTCCTAGAAACCTAGCCTCCCGAAGCAAAAGAATAGAAAATTTGAACAGACCAGTCACCAGAAATGAAATTGAATAAGTAATCAAAAAACTCCCAGAAAACAAAAGTCCAGGGCCACACAACTTCACAGGAAAGTTCTTCACAGGAAAATTCTACCAGACATTTAAAGAAGAATGAATACCCACTCTTCCCAAAATATTCCAAAAATAGAATAGGAAGAAAACTTCCAAATTAATTTTATGAGGCCAGCATTACCCTGATGCCAAAACCAGATAAAGACACCACCAAAAAAAAAAAAAAAAAAAAAAAAGAACTAAGGGCCAATATCTGATGAACACAGACACAAAAATCCTCAAGAAAATATTAGCAAACTGAATCCAACAGATTTTAAAAAATCATACACTACTATCAAGCAGGATTAATTCCCAGGATGCAAGTGTGGTTAAGTATTCACAAAACAATGTGATACATCACAATAAAAGAAAGGATAAAAACCAGGTGACCGTTTCAATAGATGTAGAAAAAGCATTTGACAAAGTACATTGGCTGATTCATGATAACCCTCTGCAAAGCAGGTCTAGAGGGAATATATCAGCATAATTAAGGCCTTATATGAAAAATCCATAGCCAACATAATGTGAAAAACAGAGCTTTTCTCCTCAGATCAGGAGCAAGACAAGGAGGTCTGCTATCACCCCTTTTATTCAAAATAGCACTGAGAAGTCCTAGCCAGAACAACTAGATGACATAAATAAGAGGTATCCATGGTATCCATATTGGTAAGGAATTAGTAAAACACTCACTGTTTGCACAGGACATGACACTATGTATCGAAAACCCTAAAGACTCCACCAAAACCTACTAGAACTGATAATATGTAAGGAAGCAATATACAAAAATCAATACACAGAAATCTGCATTTCTATACACTTACAATGAGCTAGCAGAAAGAAATAGTCCTATTTACAGTTGCACCAAAAATAATACGTACGTAGGTAACAAATTTAACCAAGGAAGTGAACGACCTGTACTCTGCAATTTATAGAACATTGATGAAAGAAATTGAAGACTACACAAATGGAAGATATTCCATGCTCATGGGTTGGAAGAACAAATACTGTTAAAACATCTATAAATATCCAAAGCAATCTATAGATTTCATGCAATCCTTACCAAAATATGAATAGCATTTTCCAGAACTAGAAAAAAAACCCAAGATTTTCTAAATAAAAGACCTCAAATAGCTAAAGCAATCTAAGGAATCTACTCCTGAAATCACTGTTGTGATATATGCTAAGTTGGATATAAATTTTTTTTTAATTAAAAAAATTAAATTTTATTTTGGGGATGCCTGGCTGGCTTAGGTTGATAGAGCGTATTGCTCTTGATCTTGGGGTATAGATGTTACTTAAAATATTTTTAAAGGTTTTCTTAGTGCAGAACCCAATGTGGGGCTTGATCCCACAACTGTGGAGTCCTAACCTGAGCCTAAATCAAGAGTAGGGTACTTGGGGTGCCTGGGTGGCTCAGTCAGTTGAGCATCCGACTTCAGCTCAGGTCATGATCTCATGGTTTGTGAGTTCAGGCCCCGCATCTGGCTCTGCTGACAGCTCAGAGCCTGGAGCCTGCTTTGGATTCTGTGTCTCCCTCTCTCTCTGCCCCCCCCCCCCCACATGTGCTCTGTCTCTGCCTCTCAAAAAATAAAATTAAAAAAAAATTTTTTTAAAGATTAGGGTACTCAACCAGCTGAGCCACCCAGGTGTCCCATGATTTTATTTTAAAGTAACCTCTACACCCAATGTGGAGCTCAAACTCACAATCAAGAGCCATATACTCTACCAACTGAGCCAGCCAGGTGCCCCTGGAGGACCATACACAAAAATAAACTCAAAAATGGATTAAAGACCTAAACGTGAGACCTAACACCCTAAAAATCTTAAAGGAGCACACAGGCAGTAATTTCTCGGACACTGACCATAGCAGCATTGTTCTCCAGAGCAAGGGAAATAAAAGCAAAAACAAACTATTGGGACTACATCAAAATTAAAAGCTTCGGCACAGCAAAGAAAACAAAACTTAAAGGCAACCTACTAAATTGGAGAAGATATTTGCAAATGACCTATCCAAAATATATAAAGAACTTCTACAACTCAAGACCAACAAAACAAATACTCTAATAAGCAGAAGACCAAAACAAACACCATGAAACAGAAACCGAAGGCATGAACAGGCATTTCTCCAAAAAAGACATCGAGATGGTCAACAGTAACATGAAAAGAGGCTCAACATCACTCACCATCAGGGAAATGCAAATCAAAAGTACAATGGGGTATCACCTAACACCTTTCAAAATGGTTAAAATTAACAAGAAATTAACACAAAAAATAAGTGTCCTTGCCGAAGTGGAGAAAAAGGAACCCTCTTGCACTGTTGCTGGGAATGCAAGTTGGTGCAGCCATTATGAAAAACAAGCACAGTGGTTCCTCAAAATATTAAAAACAGAATTGCCCTATGATTCAAGGATTGCACTATGGGGTATTTACCCCTCAAATACAAGAACACTAACTGAAAGGGATAGGTGTTAAAATACAGATTGTTACAAGAAGAAAGGACACTATATAATCATAATCACCAAAACAGAGAAGCTAGTAACAAACATAAAGGAAGTAGCCATAGTAATATACTAATAGGGGACTTTATTACTCCCTATACACGAATGGATCATCCAAACAGAACATCAAGGAAAAAGTGGCTTTGAACGACACATTGGATCAGATGGATCTAACAAATACATTTACAACATTCCATCCTAAAACAGCAGAATGCACTTATTCTCAAGTGCACCCAGAACACTATTCGAAATAGATCACAAATTTCAACAAATTCAAATAGACCAAAGTCATACTATGCATTTCCTGCACCCCCATCACAATGCTGAGGAACTAGAAATCAACCATGAAAAAAATCTGGAAAGAACACCTATAAAAGAAGGTTAAATAACATGCTACTAAACAATGAATGGGTCACACAAGCAATCATGGAGGAAATTTTTTTTAAAAGCATGGAAACAAATGAAAATAAAAACATTTAGGACAAAAATCTTTGAAATGCACAAGCGGTTTGTTTATAGCAATGCAAGCCTACAACAAAAAGTAAAATCTCAAAAACCATTTAACCTTACACTAAGGGAGCCAGAAGAAGAAAAAAAAAAAAAAAGCCAATTCCAACATCAGTAGAAGAAAGGGAAGAAAGATTACAGCAGGGGCACCTAGGTGGGTCAGTGGGCTAGGCATCTGACTCGATCTCAGCTCAGGGACTGATCTCAGGGTTGTGAGTTCAGGCCCTGTGTTGGGCTCTGCACTGAACATGAAGACTACTTAAGAAAAAAAAATTAAAACTATAAAAAAAAACAAAACAGATCAATGAAACCAGGAGATGGTTTCTTTGAAATGATCAACAAAAATCGATAAGCCTTAAACCAGACTCCTAAAATGACTCAAACACAATCGGAAAAAAGATAGCTGACACCCGATACCACAGTAATACAAAGGATTAAGAGAATATGATGAAAAATTACATGCCAAGTTGGACAACCTAGAAGAAATGCATGAACTCCTAAAAACATGTAACATCCCAAAGCTGTATCAAGAAGAAATAGAAAATTTGAACAGAATGATTACAAACTCAAATTTCATTGCTGGTAATCAGCTCCCAAGAAAAAAAAGTCAAGGGCCTCATGGTTTCACAGGTGAATTCTACCAAACATTTAAAGAAGCGTTAACACCTACTCTTCCAAACAATTGCAAAAAAAAAAAAAAAAAAAAAAAAAAAAAAAAAAAAAAAAAAAAAGAGGAAGGAAAGCTTCCAAATTCATTCTATGAGGCCAGCATTACCCAGATACCAAAACAGACAAAGGCACCACTAACCAAAAAAGAAAAACTACAGGCCAATATCTCAGATGAGCACAGACACAAAAATCTTCAAAATATTAGCAAATTTGATTCCAAGAATATATTTTACAATGTATGCATCACAATGAAGTGGGATTTATCCCTCAGATGCAAATGTGGTTTGACATTTGCAAATCAACATGCTACCTCACATCAACAAGACAAAGGGTAAAAACCATATGACCCATTTCAATAGATGAAGAAGCATTTGGCAAAGTACGACATCCATAGTGTAAACCCTCAACAAAGAAGGTTTAGAGGGAACATACCTCAACATAATAGAGGCTATATATGAAAAAGCCACAGCTAACATCAAACTCAACGGTGGGGGGGGGGGGGAAGCTTTTCTCCTCAGATCAGAAACAAGACAAAGATGCCCACTCTCACCACTTTTTTCACCATAGCATTCAAAGTCCTAGCGGCAGCAATCAGACCAGAAAAAGAAATAAAAGGCATCCAAATTGGTAAGGAAAAAGGAAAACTTTCACTATTTGCAGATGACATGACACTACATGGAGTAAATCCTAAAGACACCACCAGAAAACTAGAACTGATAGATGAATTCAGTAAGGTTGCAGAAAACAAAAATCAATACACTTATAATGAAGTAGCAGTAGAAGGAAATTAGAACAACCCTATTTACAATTACACCAAAAACAATCAAATACCTGGGAACAAACTTAACCAAGGAGGTAAAAGAGCTGTACTTTGAAAACTATAAGAACACTGGTGAAATAAACTGACAATGACACAAACAAACAGTCCATGCTCCCCAGAAGCCTGGGCAGCTCAGTTAAGCACCAGCTCAGGTCATGATCTCATGGCTTGTGGGTTGGAGCCCCACATCTGGCACTGGACCGCTGGGATCCTGGATCCTGCTTCTGATGCTGTGTCTCCCTCCCTCTCTGCCCCTCCCCTGCTTGCACACACGTGTTCTCTCAAAAATAAATAAAACATGAGCGTTCCTGGAGCGGGAGAACAATTACTCTTAAAAGATCTATATTACCCAGTGCAATATACCGACTTAATGCAACCACTATGAAAACACCAACAGCATTTTTCACGGAACCAGAACAAATAATCCTAAAATTTGTATAGGAACCACAGAAGACCCCATATAGCCAAAACGTTGAAAAAACAAACCTGGAGGTGTCACGATCCCAGATTTCAAGCTATTCTCCCTAACTGTACTAATTGAAACAGTATGGTGCCGGCACAAAAACAGACATATAAAGCACTGGAACAGAATAGAGATCCAGGAAAGAAATCCAAAATTATATGGTCAATTAAACTTCGACAAAGGAGGCAAAAATATACAATGGAAAAAAGTCTCCTCACAAATGGTGTTGGGACTGGACAGCTCCATGCAAAAGAATAAAACCAGACGACCTTTGTTCACCACAGATGAAAATATGCCCCCAAGATAAATTAAGGACGTAAATATATGATCTGAAACCATAAGAATCCTAGGTTAAGAGCATAGGCAGTAATTTCTCAACCTTGGTGGCAGCAAAATATTTCTCGATGTGTCTACCGAGACAAGGGAAACTAAAGCAAAAATAAACTACTGGGAGCACGTGCTGCTCCTGTGCAGCAAAGGAAACCATCTAAGAGACAAAACAATGAATGGAAGAGATTTACAAACGACATATCCCGTAAAGGGTCAGTATCCAAAACACAAAGCGGGAAGCATGGGTGCGTAGGCATAATAAAGTACACTTTTACCATCATCGTTTAATTGAAGGAGATCACATACCGAAGTGCGTGATAAAGGAGGTGTGTTCTATAAAGCAGGGAGGACGCCCGAGCGCAGTGACCACGCACATGTACGTCTGGTAGGTGCACACACACACACACACACACACACACACAGAATATTACACCGTGTAAACATACGCCGCCACATGTAAGTAGCAGCACTCACAGACATGGGCTGGGACGCCCTCGAGGAAAACCTCAAGCGGTAGACGCGAACGGCAAGCGCGCCGGCACATGCGCGGGGAGCCGCTCGTCACTCTCGGCCATGCGCGAGTCCGGCCGGCGATGTCGTCCCCAGCAGCGACCACGGGACACGACCTCCACGCCAGCCCACGGGGAGCAGCCCGCAACGCGCGCCCTCCGCTCTAGGAGGGCCGTAGGGACGAAAGTCCGGCCCGGCCGCCTGAGGGGGTTAGCGCTCCTCCCAGACACGGCTCGGAGCCCAGGGAGGCACCGCGTCATGCCCACGCGGCCCGCGGGCGCGCACCCTAGCGCTCCGTGCCGTCACCCCGGGGCCGAGGCCCGCGCTCACCCGGCCGCGGCGGGGCTACCACCGAGGCTCCGGACCCCCTCCCGGCGCACGCCCGGCCACCTCCGCTGCCGCTCTAGGCTGCTCGGAGGCTGTGTCCGCTCTTTGGCCTCCTCGCGGGCGGCCAGTGGAGGAGGAAGAAGTGCCCCACTCCCCACTCCCCCAAAGCGGGCCTCCCGTAGGAAGCCAGGCTGGCCCCAGCCTTCCAGTTCCCGGCCCCGTCCCACTTCTCACCTGCCGCAGGAATGGGTTTCTCACCTGTTGCCTCGCCTCCTGAGATGCGCCCTCCCCCCGCCTTCAGCCCTTCCACAGCGGCGCAGAGACGGGAGGAGCTCGTCCGCGGGCACACAGCTGCAGACTAACGAACACCTGCGCTGTGCTGACAAACTAGCGTACTTCTCTGCGCCTGCCGCCGGACCCCAGCGCCCCCCAGTCCCCACCTGCCCCGCCCGCCCCCTCCCCGCCCCCACCCATCTTCTCCCCGTCCCCTACCCGCCGCTCGCCGGCCGTCGGACCTGTCCCCCCCGCTCAGCGCCGCGTTCTCCCGTGCGCGCGAAGGCTGCGGGCTCCGGACGCTGCGAGTCTCCCGGCAATGACGCCGATACCTGTGTGTGAGGCACCACCTACTCCTTCTAGGTGAGGAAGGAAAAAGCGACTTTCCAGGTGCACAAAGCTTCCGGGCACTTACTAGGAGGCACTAGATGGGGGCGTCAGTCAGCCTCAAATATGAACCTCGATCAAGTACAACATGAGGCCGACGCGGGGCTCCGTTGACGCAGTTATAAAGGCCCGTGGTGAATGCCCACGGCCGCCCCTTCTGCGGGAAGGTGAGGATCATTACACAAACCCAATGGAAAGCTATCTTCATTCCTTCCCTCAGGGCCTTTGCTCCACCTCATCCCTTTGCTGGGAGGCCTACCCTCTTCCCACATTGTACCGAGGGCCTCCCTCACCTCCCACGGTAAAGGAAATTTTCAGCTTCTCGTGTTTGCGGGCCCTGCTCCTGGACTCCCAGGGAAGCTATACTTTAACATTTGCCAAAGGCAGAACACCTGGGCAAAACCTCAAAGCAGGGGCTCTCTTTCTGCCCTGAACACACATTGTACCTCTGCCTGGTTAAAGTTACCAAAAAGCATTCTGAACACAAAAGAAAAAGGAATCACCATCCCCGGGTGCAGTAAGTTTAAAGCCATGCTGCCCTGCAGATACTAAAACAGTTCCAGAAGCTCCCCGAGGACTTGCAACTTTTTATGTAAAAACGTATACACCGCAACACCAAACACTCCCTTACCGGAGCCCTTTTTGAAGATTGTGTATCCCTGGCAGCTGTCCTAACTTGGGCTGCAATTAAAAACTCTTCCTTTTGTAAAGAAATTCTAAAAGGTTTGTTCATTCTGCGCCCAACATTTCTTGGTGTAGCCGTAGGAGCTCAGAGCAACTTACCTGAAAACCGCGGGAGTGCTGGAGAAAGCACAGCGGGTACCAGCACGGGCCCTTGATACCCCTGACTTCGCGGCCCCTCCAAGGTGTAGCCGGTGTGTTCTCCCGCTCTCCAGAGCTCCTCAATTTGAGTTGATGGGCTTGTAATTTGAGCGGTCAAAGGTTACAGGTGATGTTCTCTAAGTGGGGATGACCTAGAGGGGGAAGTTTATGGTTGGTCGTCTTAATTTAGCATTGTACTAATTGATGTTACTAATATAAGGCTCGGATACAATTTTCTGGTTAGAAAAGTGAGAGACTGAATCACAGCTCAGATGAAGGGACACTTGCTGCTTCTGGCCAAATGGTGCCTTCAGGTGACCGAAAGCCTAGCGGGAGTATCTGAGGAATTCCTCGAGATTTAGCTCTCCCATAGGAATTTCCTGTCTCGTAAGGTAATTCATGATTGGTTTATCCGGGGACGCATCCATAAGGACTGATTGTCCAGTGCTCTGAGCCCCCAGACGGCCTTAGGCCTTGCTGGGAGAAACTGAGACACATGAGAGTGTATTACGGCTGTTTAGAAGTGACATTCACAGGCAGCACCCTATCTGCCCCGTTTAATATCCTTAGATCTTATTCAAGCCTTAGTCTAAAAGTAAAACAAATTAGGGGCACCTGGGTGGCTCAGTGCGTTGAGCATCGGACTTCCGCTCAGGGAACGATCTCACAGTTCGTGGGTTCGAGCCCCGCCTCGGGCTCTGTGCTGACAGCTCAGAGCCTGGAGCCTGCTTCCGATTCCGTGTCTCCCTCTCTCTCTGCTCCTCCTCCGCGTGCACTCTGTCTCTCTCTCAAAAATAAACGTTAAAAAAATGTTTAATAAGATAAAAAAAAAATAAAACTAAAAGGAACAGAGAACTGTGTTCCACAACTCCTGGAAAACCACCTCCCACCCCCAGCGAACTCTGGCAGGCTTTACGGACAATACATATGAGCCTACACCTGCAAGTCCTTCCTAACGGGAAAATGTAAGGAAAACCAGAGTCCCAGATGTCCCAAGTGGAGTTCTTTTCGACATGTCTGGACTAGTGTCTTGTGCGCAGCATTACAGAAAACCAGCTAGAAGGCTAAGCGATCAGAAACTAGGAAGCCATTTGGGTCAGTCAGTAAAGCCTCAACTTTCGTGAGGAACCAACACTCATAGAGACACTCTGGGCTTCGCTTGGTTTGCTTGTTGCCGTAGCATTTGGTATCTTTGGATAAAACGGGCCATGTTCTAACTGGAAAATGGAAAATAAGTAATTAATAGATCCATAAATTATAATGCTATCTGATGATTAGATTTGTTTTAATAAAAGGGAGATATTTGGAAATTGGGTCTTTAAATGTTTTTTCCACAAATATATTTAAAAAAAATTTTTAATGTTTATTTTTGAGAGAGCGCAAACGGAGGAGGAGCAGAGAGAGAAGGAGACACAGAATCTGAAGCAGGTTCCAGGCTCTGAGCTGTCAGCACAGAGCCCGACGCGGGGCTCAAACTCATGAACCGTGAGCTCATGACCTGAGCTGAAGTCGGACACTCAACCCACTGAGCCACCCAGGCACCCCGTGCTTTTTCCACAAATATTAATGAAACTTAGAGTAGCAGTTGTTTAGGAATGCCCGGAGGTTAGCAAAGGGGAAGTCAGGGCCAGCTATGGAGAGGGTCAGAGACCTGTCTTGGCAGCATTCCAGAACAAAGCACAGGCCCAAGATTACTGACAAGGTAGGCCAGAAACCCCTGACCACATAATGAAGACAAGGCCCAAAACAAACAAACAACCAAAAAATCCTGCTTCCAAGAAATTCCTGCTCCAAATAATGGATATTCCACCCCCTTAACAACTGTCAAGAAAAAACACAAGCCCTAGGGACACAGAGCATGTGGGGGGGGGGGGGGGGGGGAGAGAGAGAGAGAGAGAGAGAGAGAGAGAGAGAGAATCTTAAGCAGGCTCCGAGCTGTCAGCACAGAGCCCGATGTGGGTCTCCAACTCATGAACTGCGAGGTCATGACCCGAGCTCAAGTTGGACGCTAAACCAACTGAGCCCCCCAGGCGCCCCTCAAGAGCGTACTTTTTAAATAAACTTTCCCCCTTGTGTCGCTCATTTGCTGTGTCCTTGAATTCTTCTGATCAGACCGAAAACCTCCTGTTTAAAATAAACATCTTTGGGACAGGCCGGGTCGAGACTCCAGGGCCCAGAGTCTCCCCAGTTTACTGGGCAACACTTGGACCAGATTATTGAAACAGAACCTGAAAAATAAAATGAAAACATTCCCAGATTCTCCCTTCCATTTTCTCCCTGCTGCAGGCTCGCCCTTAATGAGGCCTTTCTTCCAGACTCTCCCCCTGCACCCCTCAGAAGGCCTCCTCTCCCCCACCCCCTGCTTTTCTCCTTTGCCCCTCTGGCTTCCTGTGGCTGCTTTCTCCTCTGTGGGCCTTTCTTTGCCTTCCCGAATAGAGAAGGGAAGGAGGGAAGGAGACGGGAACGTGCGGAGCCCTGGGGTGGGGAACCCAGAGGGGCAGGCTCCGGTTCAGGGCGGTATGTGGGAGCGGCAGGTACAGACACCTCAGCGGGGACCTGGCCCCTGGGTCCTGGATGCCCAGGGTCCCCGGGAGGGCCGGGGGTGAGGGCCGGCAGGCCTGCGGTGCGCTCGTGGGCGCGGGGCAGCCCCTGGGCCTCCACCCCCGGAGCTCGGGCACAGCTCAGGCACGAAGGACGAGGACCGGAGCGTTGTCTAGGCGAACATGGAGGGCGTCTTTCAGACTCCCCGCGTGAAGGCCGGGCTGGATTTGCCTGTGCCAGACACCGCCTCCCCCTCCGCCCTCTTGGGCGGAGCACAGCTCTGGGGACTACACGCTGCCGACCACGGAGGCTGCAGGACGGAGGCGGCGGGAGGGAAACCGCTCGGGCCTGGCGCCCCTTCGCATTTCCGAAGAGCCTCGTGGCCTTGGTGCTCCGGGCACCAGCGGCAGCGCCAGGAGCCTGCTGAAAATGCAGATTGCTGGGCTCCGCTCCGACCTTTGGAATTAGAGTCTGTACTTTAAGATCCCAGGCGATTTGTAGGTACTCTAAAATTTGATAAGCATTATTCTAGGATAATCCGAATTTAGCCAATTGTTCTACTCACAAATGAAACAGTCAAGGAAACTTAAAGAGCCACCCCACCTCCCTAAACTGTAAGAGCTATAAGGGAAACCACACACACACACACACACACACACACACACACACAATTCTAATTTTTTAATAATAAACTTCAAAAACAAAGGTTTAGCACAGTATACTTTAAAGCTGAACTTTTACTTCCTCATTTTAGAAATTCTGCCTCAGATTTTGACTGTGGAGACAAGTATAATGAGAATGTCCGCAGGGGCATTTAACATCCCAGGGAGTCCCAGCATGCTCACAATGCCACCTATATTCATTAGATGGTATCGTTTCTTTTCTAAATCACAGTGCACAGTTTTTGAGAGCTGGCTTACATGTTTCAAAGTTTGTGTTAACTTAGTCTTTTTTTTTAATGTTTATTTACTTTTGAGACGATGAGAGAGACAGAATGCAAGTAGCAGAGGGAGACACAGAATCAGAAGCAGGCTCCAGGCTCTGAGCTGTCAGCCCAGAGCCCGACACGGGGCTTGAACTCACGAACCGTGAGATCGTGACCTGAGCCAAAGTCGGACGCTTAACCGACAGAGCCACTCAGGCGCCCGTGTTAACTTAGTCTCATGTGCCCCGTGCGAAGGGCGCCGTTAGCACCCCGTTATAGGTGGGGAGACTAGCGCAGGGTCTACAGTGAGTTACCCAAGGTCGCACGGCTCACAAACAGAGGGCAGGACTGGAACCCACGCTGTCTGGTGCCAGAGCCCGTGCTGAACTCTGACAGCGGACGGTCTGTGCGTGCCGGTCTCTCCAGTTAAGCAGCAGGCCGCCCCAGGTCAGCAGCCGCCCCAGGTCAGCGGCCCCCCTCCTCCACAGAGCCCCCTCCATGATTCTTGCAAGGGCACTCAACGTCGCTGACCGACCTCCAAAAGGCAGAGGCGGGGGAAGAACGCTGACCGAGAGGCTGCAAGTGAAAGAGTGCACCGAGCAAGCGTTCAAGTGTCCCCTCATTATTTACAACAAAACCGGAAACCTGAAATATGGTAAGACCTGCACTTAGATATCTCCCGGCACACAGCGCTCTAAGCTGTCAGGACCACACGTTTCACGCCACGGACAACGCTGCTTAGAGAGTACACCACCCCCTCTGATGGTCGTCCACCACATTCCTCGGGGAGACCACGGCACTGATTCTCATTCCCAACCCTTAGGTGTGTATAAAATGTAACTTTTAAGGGGGGGGTGGGGAGCACCTCGTCTTAATATCCTTTGAATTTACCCAATCTTTAAATTTTTTTTAATGTTTATTCATTTTTTGAGAGACAGAGAGAGACAGAACATGAGTGGGGGAGGAACCGAGAGAGAGGGAGACACAGGATCCGAAGCAGGCTCCGGGCTCCGAGCTGTCAGCGCAGAACCCGACGCGGGGCTCGATCTCACAGACCATGAGATCGTGACCTGAGCCGAAGTCGGATGCTTAACCGACTGAGCCACCCAGGCACCCCTGGATTCACCTAATCTTTAAAGAGTATACTGAGGCCCCCGGCGCTCCTGGATTTACCCAATCTTTAAAACGTATACACATACGCAGAAACCAGTTTTTCAGAGTTGTTCAGTATTCAGTATCACCCATGAACAGCCCCTCCGCAGCAATTTATTTCCAGGTGATTTCGGTCTCCTTTGAGGGAAATCATTAGAAACGAACCGAAGGATAGGGAAGAAGGGGGGTGCCCGGAACCGCCCACAACCACGGCCGTTCGCCGGGAGACCCCGGCACCGAGTCTGCAGACGAGCTACTCGTTCCGGAGCACCGTAAACTTGGCCAAAACCAAATGCGCCACGTGAAAAGCCGACTCTCCAAGACGGCCCCATCTAGGAGTCTGGGGGTCCGGGGAATTAGTCCGGTTTGGCAATGGTATGGGTTCTAAAGTGCCTGATGAGGTTGCAGTGGTGGCCGAAGGCCTTCCCGCACTCGTCACACGTGTACGGTCTCTCCCCCGTGTGGCTCCTCTGGTGCTTGCCGAGCAGGGTCCGCCGGCTAAAGCGCTTGCCGCACTGGCCGCACTGGAAGGGCTTCTCCCCCGTGTGGACGCGGAGATGCTGGAAGAGCCCCGCGTTCTGGCTGAAGGCCTTCCCGCACTCGCCACAGCGGTAGCGCTTCTCCCCCGTGTGGATCCTCTGGTGCTGAACGAGGTACGAGCTCAGGCGGAAGGCCTTCCCGCACTCCTCACAGCCGTAGGGCTTCTCCCCCGTGTGGATCCTCCTGTGTCTGATGAGCCCGTTGCTGGCACCGAAGGCTCTCCCGCACTCGTCGCACACGTAGGGCTTCTCCCCGGTGTGGCTCCGCTGATGCTCGACCAGGCCGGAGCGCTGGCTGAAGGCTCTCCCGCACTCGTCGCACTCGTACGGCTTCTCCCCGGTGTGGGTTCTCTGGTGCTGAGTGAGGACCGAGCTCTGGGCGAAGCCCTTCCCGCACTCGCTGCACCTGTGCGGCCGCTCTCCGGCGGCGGCGCGTCCCCTCGGCTTTCCCGCCCTGCTCCCCCGCTTCCAAGCTTCCCGGCACCGAGAGTCCAGGGGAGCGTCTCTTCGGAGTCGGCTATTTCCAAAACGTTCCATTTCCTTCAAGACTTCTTGCCGCGCGGCCGACTCCTGGCTTTCTGGTACGACGGCGGCACCTGGAACGGAAGTGCACGGACAGCGTCACGTCTTTGTCCTTTAGGGGCAGCGCAGCCACGGGACGGGGCATCGGAAGATCCTGTCCGAGCACACGCGCTCTAAGAGCACAGAACTGGCGGAGTGAGGAAGACAAGGGCTCCGGAGGAACCCGAGACCAGAGCGGGGTCAGGAGCACTGCTGCGATGGCCGCAGGGGCCCCGGAGAGGGCGAGGCTCCCGAAAGGAGGTGTGTAAGCAGGCGCGGTTCCACCTCTTTCACACACATTAACTCAGCAAATCCCCAAACGACTCTAGGACTGTGACGATTCATTTCCATCCCGTGGACGCGTCAACCAAAGGTGCCGGATGGCCACCGGGCCTGCCCAATGTCACAGAGCTGCTAAGTGGCCGTGCTTAAGTTACAACACAGGCACTCTGACCCCAGAGTCCACGGTCTTAACTGCTACCCTACACAGGGCCACCAGAGATCCCAGGTGGACCCGTCAAAGTCCTTACCTTGTTCCCCAAATTTGTGGGGACCAAGAGATTCACACTGGAGCTGTGTCACCGTGGCCTGAAGCTGGATGGCTCTTGATTCCTGCTTGGCCTTCACATGCACCCCATCCTCTGACAGCGCTTCTGAATGGCCAGGGGCATCGTCTGGGGCCTGGAGGCAGGTAGGTATATTTGGGTTCATACGAGAGGGACACGGGAGCCCAGGCTAATATACTATGGAAGGAACCGTCCGAAACATTGTGTAGAGGGATGGCATGGGGACAGGCCCAGAGTTCAATCCCTACTCCTGCCTGATTCCCTCCCCTTGAGTGTGAGCTGTACTTAGTGACTCAGAAGCAATGGTCCACAACTTCTGCTGAGACCAAGTCATACAAAGCACTGTGGCTCTATCCTCATGCTCCTTTTCTCTCTGTCTGTCTGTCTGTCTCTCTCTCTCTCTCAGGGAAGACAGCTGATGCGTGAGGACACTCAGCCGAGGCAGAAGCCCACGCGGCAAAGAACTAAGCCCTCCGGCCAACACCAGTGAGGAACTGGGGCGCCCACCAGCACCCACGGGGGGAGCAGTCTCAGAAGTGGATCCACCAGCCCCAGGCGAGCCGGAAGGGGGCTCCCCTGTGCACGGGGCTGGAATAGGCCCCAGCCCTGCGGTCACCCACTCCAGCGACCCCGGTGCTACGCCTCGCCTCACCGTGTCTGGGTTCTGGGTGGCAGGATTAACGGGGGTCGCTGGAGTGGGCGGCCTGTGGCCCTGACTCACTGTAAGGCCCTGTTGCTCTATGCCTCAGTTTCCCTCTCCACCTCAGGAGAGTGGGTTAGATCACCCCAGCCTCAGAGGACTGGTAAAAAGACAATCCAAGTTAAGAAAACAAATCTTCACTGCAATCCCGTGAGAGACCCTCCTAAGCAGCTCCCTAGGTCCTGACGCACACGGTCCGTGAGGTAGTGCTGGGGTTGTTTAAGCCATCACGCTTGGGGGTAGTTTGTTACACAGAAACTGAGAACTGGCTGCAGCCAGCTGGCCCGGGTCACTCGGTACGCGGCGTCTGGGAGCCCATCTTCCTACTCTCACCTGATTCTCAGGCTCACTGAACTCCCTCTCCAGACCCTCCAGCGCCGTCACCACCTCGTCCCCGCTCTCCGGGTGCTGTCCCCGCACCCAGGCCTGGAGCTCGGCGGGCAGGACGGTCAGGAACTGCTCCAGCACCAGCAGCTCCAGGATCTGCTCCTTGCTGTGCGTCTCGGGCCGCAGCCACTGGCGGCACAGCTCGCGGAGCCGGCGCAGCGCCTCGCGGGGCCCGGGGGCCTCTTGGTAACAAAAGTGCCTGAAAAGTTGGCGGGAGGCCTCCTGAGTAGAAATGCCGCTCTCTCGAAGGAAGGTCTCCTGGTCCCAGACACGGTCCTCCTCTGCCTTCACGGCTCTAAGTCCGGGCTGCTCCTCCGCCGAAGCCATCCCGCTCAGAAGGCTCGCCGCAGCCCGGGCAAGGGAAGCGGATTCAAGGCTCCCTAGCCTGCTATTCTTGAAGAGCACACACCTGACGATAAAACATTATGTATTCATGGAAGTGAAAAAGTGCCGGGAGAAGAAGTAAAGCACGGGAACAACGAGCATCGTGCTACCGTTTATGTTCATGAAAGTACATCTAGGCTTTTACTTACCTGTGTCCAGAATCTGGAGAAAAGCATGTGGCACATAACCGCCCGACCTCCTCACTCTCTCCAGCGCCTTCCCACTGGGAGTCTGTGCTCAACCACGTGACTGGACCTGGCCACTGTGCCATCAGCAAATGCGACACAAACAAAGGTTTGGGAAGAACTTGTGTGACACAGCCCCCGGGCTTGCTCTCCACGACCGTGAGGAGGAGGACCCACTGCCCCCCCCCCCCCGCCATGACAGAGGCACATGGACACTCCCGGCTCAGCTGACAGGCAGCTGGCCCCCAGACGTGTGAGCCTGGACGCGTCTGCCGAGCCGCTCGGCGGCCCCCCAGCTCGCTGCAGATACACGGGTAAGCCCTGCCCAATCAGCCGCACCCCACAGATTCTTGTGCTAAATAAACATGTATTGCTGCAGGCCGCCAAGTTTTATGGTTGTTACACCGTGTTATTATGGCCACGAAAAACTGAGACACGGCCTTGGCCACTGGGGAGGGAACCAGGCAGGTGCAGAACAAGAATAAGGGAAATCTACACAGAATACTCTCTACTTTTCCTGATTTTTGTATCATTTGAAATTCTTATTGCGAGAAAACAAACAGAAATAAATAGTGATTTAAAAACCTGCTAGACACTCAATACACAGTAGCATCAGGTAAAGAACAGAACACACAAGACTAGCTGTAAAATCAAATGATGGGGGCGCCGGGGTGGCTCAGTCGGGTAAGTGTCCAACTTCGGCTCAGGTCACAATCTCACGACTCGTGGGTTCGAGCCCTGCATCGGGCTCTGTGCTGACAGCTCAGAGCCTGGAACCTGCTTCTGATTCTGTGATTCCCTCCCTCTCTACCCCTCCCCTGCTCACGCTCTGTCTCTGTCTCTCAAAAATAAATAAATGTGAAAAAAAAATCAAGTGATGAGTGCTATAACAGAGGATTTAACCAAATATCCAGAAAGCAAAGAGTAGGAAAAGATCATTCTGACTGGGTATGGAGCAGTGAAAACATGTGGCTTACGGGCGAATGCATTTGAATTAGGCCTAAAATAACAAACAGGAATTTGTCAGGCAAAGAGAGGGCGATGGGAGGAGACCCAACAGGACCAAAGCTCTCTAAGGTTACAGGGCACAGAAGATCTAGGGACCGGTGTGGGTGCTGGTGGCTGGACTACAGATTATAGGGTGTGGGCAGAAAACGTGTGGGAAGAGGTAAGGTGGGAACAGAAAACAGCCTTGAACTCCAGGCTGAGATCTTTAGACTCTATCCTATGGAAAACTGAGGGGCAGTGAGGCTTTCATGTCACTGTCACAGCATTAGATCTGTGTTTAGAAATACTGAGGAAGATTCAGGAAGGAAATCGAATATGTTGCAGGGTTGTGGACTGTAAGCTGGGAGGCCGAATGGTGGTTACACTGACAGTTTACTTTAATGGTGGCATTTGAGTTTTATACATGGCCTCAGCCCAGTGTTAACAGAATTACTGGGGTGCCTGGGGGGCTCAGTTAAACGTCCGACTTTGGCTCTTGCAGTTTGTGAGTTCGAGCCCCGTGTCGGGCTCTGTGCTGACAGCTCACAGCCTGGAGCCTGCTTCCGATTCTGTGTCTCCCTCTCTCTTCGCCCATCCCCTACTTGCTGCCTCTCTCTCCCTCCAAAATAAACATTAAAAAATAGAATTATCAATGTCTGAGAGAATTTACAAGTTTTCCAGTTGTACTTTATTGCGGGAAAATGCATTTATCCCATTCATTCAAATACATGTGCTGACCAGATGCCTGGCATAGTGCTCAGGTCAGAGCGGTGAGAGGAAACAGACTTGGTCCTTGCCTTTATGGCGCTTACGGTGGGGGAGACAGACGCTCGTGTGATATCTACATGAACAACGTCATGGTGTTGAGAAAACGGGAGAGTCACAGAGACTGGAGCTTACGCTTTGCCAATGTCCACGGCCAACTGCATTGGTTTTACTCTTTACTGCAGTACCGAGTATCAGGTTTTTTGAGTCTTCAGTCCAAGAAGACTGTAAGTCTGAGAAGTCCTAACTACGGATTTGCATTTAGCTTCATGATTGTTAAAAGTGTGGCTTACCACGGGGTTACATTTACAGGCAACAACTGTTCTGTGATTATGCTTAATCCTGCCAAGAACCGCAGAGCAGCGCAGGCAAATCCTCCACACACCCAAAGCCACAGGCGGGCAGCCTCTGTCTGTTCTCCCCACAGCTGCCGGGGGAGATCTTACCTCCTGCTCTCGTGCTGCCCTGAACCTGTCTTTACTCATGGAGGTTTGTGGACCAAGAAATGAATTTTCCCTTTTCACTTCATCAAGACGTGGCCAGGAACGGGAAACACCCTCTTTCCCTTCTCCCCAAGCTCCCCCCCCCCACCCCCCCAGGGATCTGTCAGCATTATCTGGTGCTCCCAGGTCTCTCTCCACTCCCGATCACATCCCAACTTGCTACAGATCCCAAACACCTCTTATGACAAAATGCCTAGAAGATGTACAAGCCTGCATTTGCCATAAAATTATGGATGGAACTTTCTTCAATGTTTTACTTACCTGATTTATTCAATTAAGTGCCCTGATTCAATTAAGTACAATTTAGTGTCATCTGATTTCCTAGGAGGAAGCAGGTAGCTGATACACATCTGATAAACCAAATGTAATGAGTTAAAAAAATTTTTTTTTGAGAAAAAAAAATTTTTTTGAGTTTACTTATTTTTGAGAGAGAGAGAGAGAGAGAGCAAGCACAAGTGGGGGAGGGCAGAGAGAGAGGGTGACACAGAATCTGAAGCAGTCTCCAGGCTCTGAGCTGTCAGCACAGAGCTCAACGTGGGGCTTAACCCACAAACCACAAGATCATGACATTAGCTGAAGTCGGATGCGTAACTGAGCCACCCAGATGCCCCCGTCATTGAATTCTTTATGTGACCAAGACCCTTTGGTGACATCTTTGGGATTACTAGGTGAAAGCCTCAGGGCCAGGGAGTCTCTCCAGTTCACGCAGCAACATAATTAAGGTTACTAATTAGTGGGCCTTATGATAGGAAGATAGATCTCTGGGTGGGGCTACACTACTTCTATGACTTTTTAAAAATTTTTAAATTTTATTTTAGAGACAGAAAGAGAGAGAGAGAGAGAGAGAGAGAGAGAGAGAGAGAGAGCATGAGTAGGGGAGAGGACACAGGGAGAGAGAATCTCAAGCAGGCTCCATGTGTAGCCCAACGGAGGGTGGGGTGGGGATCATGACCTGAGCCGAAATCAAGAGTTAGACACTCAACCCTCTGGGCCGCCCTGGTGCTCCCTTACATGATCTCTTTAAATGTAGACTATTCTCTGGCTGGTAGCAGATGAGGAAGTCAGAGATTTGAAGCATGAGGAGGATTTGATGCACATTTGCTGGCTGGTCGCTGGAGGAAGGGGCCACGTGTAAAGGAAGCTGAGACGAGTGTCCTGCTGGCAGCCAGCAAGGAAAGGGGGACCTCAGTTTTACCAGGAACTTCTGTCCTCAACTGCAAGAAATTGAGTTTTGACAACTTGCATTTCTAAAATATAGTGGACAGATTTGGTGCCGTTTTTGTTACACACTCAAAGTTTCAAAGTTTTCCTATTTGATTTCTTCTGATGTCGATTCCTGTGTGCTAGATCGATGTTGCCATTTCCTCACTCATTTTACTCCGTAAACGTTCCCTGAGCACCTACAATGCATCAGGCCACTCAGCGAGGCACCAGAGATATAATCGTCAAGAAGACAGAGCCCGCCCCTGTTTTGCTGGGGCTTATGAAAG